AACGAGCTAGTACAAGATCAGTCCCGAAAGGATCGATGACTAACGTGAAAATCGCAACAGTTGAATAAAAAATGAAAATCGTTGGATAAAAACGACCTGATGCGGTGGCAAATCCTTCTTGACGCACCGTGCCACCCTAGTGCTCAGATGAACTCAGAAACAGCAGCGAATATGACGTTGAATAGAGTAGAATTGATAAGTGGTCGAGAGCAACGCTGGACACGACCGCCCGGCGGCTACACACAATATCGAATGAACTCGCTCTCCACTAGTTGTTGAAGGGGTGTGTGTCAGGACTCACCGCCGCGCCGAAACTAGGTCGCCGCGCTGGGAAGTGGGTCACCGCGCGCGGCGATTACATGCTTTAACATGTTTGCATGTTTGAACATGTCTACCTGTTTGGACATGTTCTTGGCAGATGGAAGATGAGGAAAAGAGAGAACGCTCCAAGCAAACTGCGATAGGGTCATATTGATCGGAAGTTGGCAAAATGCCAGGTCAGGACTCACCGCCGCGCCACGCGAACAGGTCGCCGCGCGCGGTGACCTAGTTTCGAGCGCGGCGGTGACTCCTGGCCGTCTCCCGTTGTTGAAGCGGGCAAGTGGTACTGTGTCACATCTTTCGTATTACTCGTTTTCTACCACTTTTTGTCGCATGCGCGCTTCAACAAGAAGGCAGAGAACGGCTTTGATGGGGTGACACACTCATACTGCTGACACGCCCAACCGTCCGCAGCGAAGTAGAGTGTAATTTACTTGGATTCCATCAAAGCCTTCGATAGGATACCACATAATGTGCTTCTTCATAAGCTTGCTCATTTGGGTTTCCATCCTCTGGTTGTAAAGTGGATTCTGGATTTTCTGAATAACAGAACATTTCAGATTCGGGTTGGGAACTCAACTCCTGTTATCGTATGTCCTGTTATCCTGTTATCTGTATATGTTATCTGGTTCTGTTATCGACTGTACGAGAGGCATGCAGCAGTGTACCTCAGGGAGGTGTGCTCTCCCTCGTACTGTTCAACATTTTCACAGCAGATCTGCCGGATGTTCTGTCCAATCCAGGTGTGTTCATGCAATCTATATGCTGATGATATCAAGATTTATAAAGTTGTTCAAGATGTTGAATCTGACCGTTCACTGCAATTAGCAATCAATAAGATGGTGGACTTGGTCCAAGGCTAATGGTTTGCTCCTATCTTTGGAAAAAACCCAAGTGATGCGTTTGGGTGAGCATCAGTTAAATCCTAAGTATTCAGTTGAGTTTTGAAGTCCTGAGGTCCGTAGAGGAAGTTCGAGATCTTGGGTTTCTATATGACTACAAGTTGAACTTTAGCAAGCATTATAAGGCTCTAGTGGGAAAGGGCATGCGTAGAATCTATAATATAAAGCCCTTAAAACTAGAGACGCAAGCACGCTGTTAAGAACCTATAAACTTTAGTTCGCCCTATTTTGGAATGTGAGACAACGGTTCTCAATCCCCACCTGAAAAAGGGCATAAGGGCCCTAGGAAGTCTGTTGCTGGATGTTCCTTATGCTTGTTTTTCTTCATTTTTACATGTTGTGACTACATGTCCAATAAATAAATAAATGTACAGTGCGATCCTTGTGAACGGTAGAGCGTGTGACGCGGCGCGTACTATTTAGAGCGCGGCCAGGGCGGCCTTTTCCAACAATGATGCCACCTCGATTCAAAGGTTAGAGATCTGTTCTGACTGCGCTCCAAGCCACGCTGTATCGTTTGTAGGGATCATGAGCGCATGACCTCACTCTGAACTGGTTGTCAACGACCTGACAAAGAGTCGATGGAAAGCTTTCAAAAGCTTGGGGCTCCGCAGTTGGAAAGACAGTCAGCTAACTATCGAGCTCCCATTTGGAACCTGCAATTCCTTTCCAAAAGGTATCTGGGACGGATTGCGATCAAAAAAAAGCACATCAGCCCTATTCGGTAGGTGGGACGTTTCAACCGGAGTTTTTCAACCTAGCCTCAGGTCCTCGAGCTGCGCCATCCTCGATATGTGATGGCGGAACAGATACAGTTGGTACGATCGCATCAGTCGGGGCGGTGTCATGAGGCATGGAATAACCCTTTTCAAGGAACTTTCCACCACTGATTATAGTATTGTTTCTGAACTATCTCTAGCAGATAATTATTGGTACAAAACATCCAGTGCACTTATGCCATGCCTGCTGGCATAGTCCGCCGTCCTACGACGATATCAGCCGTAATTTTCGTTGACTGAGTGGTGAACCAACCCAATGCAATCAACGCCTTCACTTTGTCTTATCGGTCCAGAGTGGTATGAACATTGAAAAATGCCACGGGTGGACCTGTTACACAGCGTAGGTACTAACTAAGTAGTCATTTCATTGGATGCAACATTCTCATTGATAATGTAACTCCCTTATTCACGCTCCTAGCGCACTTTTCAGGGAGGTTCTGGAACATCTCTCTCCAAGGGAAACTTGAAACAACGCCAATGGCTACTTTTCCTTCACTTTTGAACAGCTTGCTCTTCTTTACAATGTCTAAAAGAACCAACCTGGATAAGAACCACCAAAAGTCACCCATTTTGTGTTCGTATCCTTAAAATACATCGCATTCATTTGACTGATGAATTCTTTGATGTCTTCGAGTGCTTGATCGATTGTGAGGAACTTCAGTGATTCGGTGTCCTGTTTGCTGGGAATCATTGTAAACTTCAGCTCTTTAGTTTTGCGGAAAGTAACGGCAATGTTTTGTGAGTATCTTCGAGAACACAATTTCGCCGACACCGGATGTTTAACTAGCTTGCCAGGAGTATCCATGACTTACCCAAACGGTGTATTTTCCTTGGGGCCATAGAAGCGATGCTCAACTTGGAACGCTGCTGCGCTATAGTTCTGAGCCCACTGCATCATGGTGATGTTCTCGTCCCTAACCCACTTGTCATTAATTGTACCTGAAATTGTGGTAGGACTGACTCGGTAGGAGAAAAGCATAACGGGCTAACAAGAAGCATTTACTTTCTCCTCCGATCATTAGAAATACAATGCCAGTAGTTGCGTTGTAGAATTTGGAGTTGTACTGATAGCGCTGAAGAAAATAATAAATTTCATGGATATTTTGAATGATTCAGGAACTGTGCTCTTTCTGCACTATATATCCCTGAAAAGAGTAACGTGACTGCTTGCTGGTTAATGCCGTTTGGACTCCAGAAATTTCGGCACCGAGCTCATTTTTAAATTGCCTAAGTCACCAAATCCGCTAAAAACTTGTATATAGGGGTAGTTTAACATCCTGATTACGAATATGACATTCACTCTTGTCGCTGGCGCCAAGAGATGACACTACGATCAGGGTACAGCATGGGGATGTGCGAAATGGCGGTGTGAGTACGACCCCCCCCCTCGAAGAGGGTCCAGATACGACCCCCTCCTGCTCTAACTGACAACCAGATGCATGTTCACCACAAATGGCTTCCTGAAATGGAATCTGGATTTTCGAAAGGCGGACTCTGCTCTAAATCCAGGCAATAAGAGGCTGTTTCAGCCTCATGCAATATGAGGCTGAACAACAGCCTCGCATTACCTACAATTTTGTCTTAGGATTCAAAATAAAACTCCTCGTTCGATATCGTGTAGAAATGCTACGTGTAGGAAGGAACACAATGAAAAGAGCGACTAATGGTGATCATTAATGCTAAACTGGTGAAAAAATTAGCCCCAAGGTCAGCGTGTCAGGCCCCAGATGTGCATTCAATGAATGGTGACGGGGAAATCATAAAAACATGAACGACACATTAAAGCGAAACATTTTAAAATAGTGCTGTCGCCGGAGCCTCATTGCAATCTGAATGTTGAACACATAAAAGAGGCGCCAAAATTTATTGCGAAAGACTCAAAAGATTCAAAAGAATCCAAAAGTTTTCACAAAAATTTTTATATTGTTTATACTCCTTCTTCTTCGAATATTTCGGTGCCTAGCACCTTCTTCAGCGACCTGAAATACTACAGTTAGCCACCTCCACCGGAATCCTGAACCTCCTTCAGTGGTGCCTCCTTCTGGACTCTGACCTGGTCTGCTGCCTCCAGTATCCGCCAATATGCCGCCGCTGCTCCTTGCGAACGCCGCGCCCTTCTGGTGACTGTGACCCTACCCGTTACCCTCCTTAAATAGTGAGGATGCCTAGTGAGCGCTTCTGCATATGATATCACTGACCGCTCCACCATTATCACGTAGTCAGTGAATCAACTGCAGCGCGTCACGTAGCTCATCCTTACTATTCATTTCTGGGGAGAGCCTTCTTATTTCCAGTGCTTCCAATAACTTTCTTTCCACCGGATTTTCTATGGAGCGGTGTAATACTGTAATGGTAAGTGCGGGAGGACCTTCGTGTGCATGCATTTTGGTGCGGTGCTTTGAGAGACTGTTGTCCGGATAGGAAGCTGGATTGTGTAGGGCCCTGCGATGTTCATCTAGTCGTTTGTAGAGTGGCCTCTTTGTCTCTCCAATGTACTTTTGCCCGCATCCCTGGCATTTTATCAAATATACCGTTCCCCTAAGTTGACATATTTTTCCGCATTACAGTATGCGCAGCTACCTCGTCCACATTTATCTTCATAAGGCCTGGAGTACGTGAGCAGTCTTTTAAGATTTGGTGGTGGACAGAAAGCGAAACATGAAAAATAAAAAAATTGCGGAGCCAAATGAGAAAAAGGAAAGGAAAGAAACGTCATTGGAGCACGGTAACTCGAAAGTCAGCGTCCTGGGGTCTTTTCAGGAGCTTATATCTCTTTTAGGTGCGGAGCTTTTGAGGAATGGTGAGCAGCATGCAACGGCAAAGTTTCTACTGTTGTGTATTCTACCTAGTTGCAAACTGAACAATCCCCCGTTGGTGAAATATTCCGGATGGGTTTGGATAGGCTAGGGGTAAATGGCAAGCGGGTTTTTATGCTTCACACGAGGACTACTTATTTCGAACGCAATTTCATCAGGATTGAAATAGTCTTGAAACCGCCCTATCTTTTCTCTTTCCAATAAGCTTTACAGTTTTTCTGAAGACCCACTAGTTCAGGAGATATTTTAGATGGGTCACAGACGCGCTACCCTCTGACCCACCCGAAAAATCGACTCCTTCTGTGCCATTGTGAGGATACACCTTCGAAAACTCCAAAACACATATTTCCCTTCAAATGAGTGAAAGAGGAGCTCGGCTATCACTGATCGATTTGGTCCGAGTGTGCGCCGTGCATTACGCTCCTACGCAGAGGTGGTGGAAAGGTGTAAATTCTAATTTCAGGTGCTTTTATCCATGCAAGCAGATGTTTGTTTAGGGTTTGGAAAGGACAATACGCACGAATCTGTTTGAGACGTATTATTTAGTCATCTACGTACTTACGAGTTCATGCTATTAACTGATATTTATTTATTTATTTATTTATTTATTTATTCTTGATATTCTTGCTATATTGCTAATAAATTTTTTATTATTTTGTAGTCCTATTTACATCCGGGTCTTCTGCAGCTTTCCGTTCCTTCCATCAAACTTAGCAATGACACTTTTGTACTGTTTGATGCCTAGCGAGCCTACTTTTGCGATACTCCCCATGTCCCCCGCGGCCAAGTACGAACCCATTTTGGGGATTTTGCATGAAAAGAGGGCTGTTAAACGTAGCAGTTCAATCTGTAAAGAATACACTCATAATAATTTTCATTTTTTTAACATCTTGACTTCCATAGCTCCACTCCCACTATCAACTGAAATGTCGAAGCATTGCCCGGCTCTGAGTGACCCTTGAGATTACGACCCCCCCTCCCCAGCGGCCAAGTACGACCCCCCTATGGGTTTCGCACAACGATGCTGTAGCCTGACTACGATTACCTCCTGGGCTCAGCCTTAGCAGAGCGCAGATAATCGTAGTGTCATCCATTAGCGCCAGCGACAAGAGTGAATGTCATATTCGTAATCAGGATGTTAAACTACCCCTATATACAAGTTTTTAGCGGATTTGGTGACTTAGGCAATTTAAAAATGAGCTCGGTGCCGAAATTTCTGGAGTCCAAACGGCATTAGCCCTGCTTGCTTCGTTCATGGCGTAGGAAGTGTTTTCCAGCTGCATATTTCTATTTGTGGTAGTTGTCATCTTATCCTACGCTCGAGAAATACAGTATTACAGTTGTCTCCAAACAAGCAATATCCCAACTAATGCGCAGCCACGGCCACGTCCATCAAGCAGCCACGCCCTTCCCAATCCTCGGATATGGGGTGTATGTGAGAGCTAGTTCACCAGCAGAAACGTTTCTAACTAGGGAAGGTCGTCAGGTCGAAGTGGCCATTTGTAATGAGATGTAGCTCACTAGACGTGGTTTTGGACGCTGATCTCGAATCTGCCTTCGAAATTTGCAGAACGATTCTCTGAACGGAGTTATGGAGCCGCGTTTACCACGCAACAGGTCATGGGATCGGATCCCTGCTGAGCTTAACTTTTTTGCTTCTTGCGCAAACGTGGCAAAAAGTGGTTGTGCGTCACTACTACATTAGCGCTCTCCTTGACTTGCCTGAAAAACAGTTTGCGTTCGCTTACTGGCGCGCTTAGTGCCTTATGATCTAGGAGAATGGATGTACAGGTGCCCTTGGCGCGCAGTGCAGGCGTTTTCGCGCTGAGCGAGTGCCATATTCGTGTTTATCGGGGCGAACTACGCCTAGGTAGAGGTTTCTAGCCAAATCTGGCATTTTGACCTGACTTCGAAAAGTGAAGCATCCATGGGTTAGTTCAGTTGATGTTCACACCTATTCAGCTGCAGATACATTCTCCTGCACAAACCCTCGTCTTGCCACTTCTTACGCATTCATTTTGTTACTGCTCCAGTTTTCCTAATATCTGAAAGCAAATTCTGTCCAAAGACAAGCAATCGACAAGAGACTGGCCCTGGAACTATTAGGTGACCATCATTCGATCAACTGCTACCGCACTTTTCAAAGTTAGGTCAAAACCTCACATCTGGCTAGAAACCTGTCCCCAAGGGTAGTTTTGCTCCCTGAACACGAATATGGCACCCATTTGGCGTTTGAGTGTTTTCTAGACTCAAGAAACATTCCCCACAAAATGCAAAAGCAGCCCCTCTGACTCCGTTTTCCTTCATTTTAATTCTAACAAACCTTCATAATTCCGTTCAGAGAATCGTTCTGCAAATTTCGAAGGCAGATTCGAGATCAGCGTCCAAAACCACGTCTAGTGAGCTACATCTCATTACAAATGGCCACTTCGACCTGACGACCTTCCCTAGCAACATTTTTCTTCTTCACTGAGATGTAAAAAATGAAACAGGAATAACGGGTGTTTCTAAGGAATCCCAACGAAACCATATACAAACGAGGACCAAAGTCAGGAAACTAAGTTCAATCGGTTTTGAAGACACATTCTGCGACTACCAAAAGGGCGGAGAAGGGCAGCCGTAACGACTTCGCAAACACCTGGCACACCTGCGTCCTGAGTATTAAAGGTACGTGCGCGATCAGGTATAAAAGTTGAAAATATGACACCGTAAGGGTTATGTGGTTCGTGGCGAACAACCTTGTACCGGTTTCGCGGTACAAGGTTGTTCGTCGCGAACCACACTACCCTTCCGATGTCATATTTGTAGGATCAAAGATATTTGTGTTTAAAAAAATTGTAAGGGAGGGCGCTATAGCGCAATATAGGTTCAGTGACGCCTCCTTTTTTCCAGTGACTCCGCCTCCAGACTCCGCCCTCAAGGCCCGCCTTCAGTGAAAAACGAAGCTGCAGGACGAAAAAGCATGAAACGTCACTTATAGAGTTGAGTACCTGTAGAGTCGTAGAGTTCTCATCGGGCAATCAGCTGTGCGGATGAGGGCGTAGTGTTAGAGATGGGGTTAATTGGGCACGTGCAAATTGAGATTCAAATGGGGTTCTGTTTAGGGCAGTTATTATGTTTTTTCTGCTTTTTTTTAACTATCGATATGCAAACCCCTAATCCACTATTTGTGATGGCGAATGATCGCGGCCTCTGCTTTGAAA